CGGGCAAAAATACGTTAGTAAGTACGGAAGTATATTTTTCAAAATTCCAAAACAAATATTCATCCTTTACTGTTGAATGGTAAATTCCCAATGTATCGATTTTTTTACTGGCAACGTAAGTCTTTAGGAAAACACAGATTGAGATGCAAGTTTCAAGATGGTAATTAAATCAATTATGTCGCAAAGTAATGAATCTGCCAAGGTTAACGGTCGTCATGAAAAACCGGCGACGCGTCCGAGAAAAAATTCATCCACCAATCGGATGGAGAAACTGTCGACGACACACTTCCATATGATAATAATATATCGTTTTCCAATTCCTCATGGAACGAACAATTATATAAACAACGCAACTGTTTGCGATTATAATAAAAAGAAAAGAGGCAGCGTTATGCACGCTTTCATGATTTCGAGATGAAACGCAGGCAGTTTGTTTAGCAGACCGGGAATTTGGCCTAATAGAAAATATTAAAATTGATTGCCGTGATTAATGCCAGCTTCTAGAAGCGAATCCATCTCGTAACCATACGGTTCATCGGATGGAATAACGTTTTAATTCTTGTGATTGTTCTAGCAGCTTCATTCTAAGTAAAATTGTTGAATGGCGTCAACGGCGATCCATATTTGCACAAAACGGTCATAACTGGTGACGAATCATTATTATGACATCGTAACCAAACTCCAATCGTCACAATGGAATGCCTTAGCCACCGTATTCACTAGATTTAATCCCTTGCGATTTTTTCTGTTCCCAACATTGAAAAGACCTATCAAAGGATGAGGTTTTGCCACAATTGATGAGATAAAAAGCGAATCGCTGATAGAGGTCAATAACATACCAAAAAGTGCATACCAGAGCTGTCTAGAGGATTGAAAAACAGACACAAGTGTATTTGAAGTGCACTTTGAAGGAGATAAAATAGGAATTGATGTTTGAAGGTGGTTGACAATGTTTCGTGGTGTATTTCATCAGTTTGGACTTCCATTGACTAATATAATATAAATTGATTTGACAACCCTGAAAAAATTAAAAAGATTAACCGAAAATAACAATTTTATTAAACCAAAAACTGAAATTACTACTAGACACTTTCCTGAAGCAAATCAACAACGTAAGTCCTTCCATCACTGTCACAATGGAGAAGGAAGTCTACAACGAATTGCCCTTCTTAGACGTATTGATGAAGAGGACCGACACTAAAATGTATATCGAAAACCCACTCACACAGGACAGTATCTGAACCAGAAATTCAACCACCATCAATCGACTAAGAGAGGAATCATCAAGACTCTACTAGACCGTGCTTTTGGGCTCTGTAATACAATGTTGAGGTCATTAAAAATGACCTTCAACGGAATGGTTACTCCAGAGCGATGGTAGAACAGGCATTAGCTAGGAGACAGCAAGAACTCCTCAAGGAAGAGAAGGCGCCACAACCAGTACTTGTACTTCCCTACATCAGAGGATTATCGGAAATGATAAGAAGGATTGGGTCCAAGTATAAAATCAGGACTTGCTTCAGATCTGGGAACACCATCCGTAGCAGCCTCACGAAAACCAGGCCAACAAACGCGGACTGCGATTCCAAGAATTGCATTTACTGGATACCCTGCGAGTGCGGAGAATCATACATCGGTGAAACTATGAAGCCATTGAAAAGTCGCATTGCTGAGTACAAGAAACACACACAGCGAGGAGAAACCAGCAAATCCGGAATAGCAGAGCATGTTTGGACTCATCAACATAACATCAAGTGGGCTCAAGCTGAAATCATCCACCAAGAGGAACACTGGTTTAGGAGAAAATCCAAAGAAGCCGCGTATTTATTGTCCATCAACGCATTTAGTCAAGCTAGCGTAGAGATACGTAACATAGGGAAACCTCTAATCAAGCGAAAAACGACCAACTCCCGCCAAACGGCCATCTCCAGCTAAAACCAATGAAGCGGAAAGAGGGGATTGGTGAAAGCACTCGAATGACCTATAAATAGTCAGATCTCGGAGGAATGAGTCCAGTCATCACCCGAAGACGATTGTAGATACTAACAATCGAAACGTCGTGACATAACTTCGTTTGAAATCTTTTTAAAAAACGTCCACCCTCAAAACGCACCATTCCACGTTAAAATTGTTTGATTTCCTGGCTCTCTCCTGCTGCAACCCTTCGTTGGCGTCAAGGGGGATCGGGACAAGGGGAAAAACCGTAGACAGGTGTCTGTGTATGATATGTAACCATGACAACTCAGGTACAGATTCAGATCAATACGGGTCGCGAGCGACGCCATCTTGGATTCGTTGCTCTCAGGAGATCCTGCTGCGACACACCCACAACCTGGATTCCTGCTGTACGACTGCGGTAGAAAGATTCCTTGCTAAATTCACTGTAAAATGTTGACAGCTTTGTAGTCGAATGCCTTAGTGACTAACTGATTTGGCACAATCCGTATCGCTTTAGAATTGATTAATAAAAGTTGTGTTAAGATATTAGCTGAATTATTAGAACTTTTTTTACATTGTGTTTGTGTTGCCAGATCATTTTAAGCAGTAGATTTTTTGTCAGTAGAAATAAATTGATATAAAAAAACTGTAGAAAATAAGTTTTATAGATACTACATGGTAGCTCAACAGCCAAAAGAGTTGATTTAATGTGAAAACAGTGTACCTAGCAACTCTGGAGTTGATGCTCCTCTTAAACTCAGGGAAAATTAGGATTCTATGCAAATTTTGCGCGGGTAGGCCTTGTAAAAATAAATTATTTATCATCAAAGAATTCAAATCCGCTGTAAAATACTTTCACATACATAAGAAGTACAGAGTATCGTAGGAATTTCGGGATCTTTGGCTTTAACCAATCAGAAACATTTTTGAGGCAACGTGAAATGTACAGAGAGAAGCAGAAACTGTATGAGAATTTTGTGGTATGTACATTTTTGTTCGGAAGATACTACGTGAAAATGTGATGATGAATAAAAGGACCTATTGGAAAAACCATCCGACTCGACACATGCCACACCAAATAAAGTTGACCGCCAGAAATTATCCTTTCGAAAATCACGTTTCCTCCAGAGTGATTCTCGGTAATATTGAATTGCGCGAAATATCGATCCGTGTCTACATGCGATGTTTTTTCCAGATCACTCACGCTGTGAGTCAAGCGACTGAAAGAAGTGACAACTCGAATAGCAAGTGGGAAATTGTAGTCGATATGCATACGCCATGAAATGGGGCAAATGACATTCCCAATAGATGGTCGAGTTTTGAGTGAGACGAAAAGTCTGGCATGATTGCTTAATGAATAAACTGTGGTGTTCAGGCTTGGTTGGTAGTTTTTGTTGGTGGTCCTCTCACAACCCTTCTTGGGTGTTCCGCAGACATCCATATTTTCTCCAAAGCTCTTTCCTGTTGCATTGGGCTGAGTTGGTGTTATGGTATGATGGATTTGCAGCATTCTGGACCTTCCTGCTAAGGTAGCGGAAGATCAATTTACTGAGATTTCTCGAGGCATTTTGAAATAATATTTTTGCGCATTTCCGTATGAAAATTTGAAATACTAATTGACAAGTTTCATGAAGTAACCTGAAGATATTTCAGATATCTTGTATGTAACCTTGGACGGCAGACTTTCAGATTGGAGCGTTTACATCCTGTAAACATCTGGGAGATCAAGTGCATCTTATGTAGACTGAAAAGTTTTGTTTGTTTTTGCAAAGCATTTTATCAAACTAGGAAAACTGATAAACAGATAAGATATGTTGATTTAGGCTTATTTTCAGTAATTCGCTTCCTGATGAATGATTATATAACTAACCGATATTTCAACTTAATTTGACTTGATTATTTTTTTTTTCGGTTATTTTGACGCTTTCACCTAGCTGTCGCCTGTATTTCCAGATTTAGCCCTTGGAGATTTTTCTGGAACCTCGTCTCTTTTGATACAATTACAAAAAAAAAATCGTTAATCATCGATGTAGATAACAGACTTCTCTCGTTCTCCTCATTACAGCGATATTGTGTAAATCGTGACGTGCCGCGAGAATAAAAAAGGGGTCCAGCAGCACGAGCCGCGGCAGGTGTTCCTGCCGGCAGGTGGACCAAACATATGCTCGCTCTCCTATCTGACAGATATTTCATTGAAATCAACAGAGGTAGGTACCCGCTTGCGATGTCTTTTTTATCATTGTGTATACTTTCTGAGTCGCTCACAATGGAATAGTTTTCGATGCGTTCGATGTTATTATCTCCTGCGTCGAATCGAAACAAAGCATTGTCGTACGTTGGCGAAAATGGTTGATGGAAAACGCAAACCCAAAATCTACGCAAGAACTACTGATGTCTTTTCGAATATTTTCATCCACGCATAAAAACGATGAAAACATAGTTCACGGCGATTAAATGTATTAGAGCTGTTCAACGGATTTAAATGAACTGAGATGTCTAAATAACAGTGTTACTGACAATGCTGCGAGCGAAAAGAAACCGCAGTTGAATAAAACCGAGAAATATCGCGAACCAATCCACTGTGGATGAAGAAGAAATCGAACTCGAGGAGCGCCGTGTTCAGTGTTGCCAGGTCCACTGTGTTAGCAGTAAATCTCCTGTTTTCGCTCTCGAGCTACTGCTCTTCTATTTGAGAGTTTAAACCCACTGATAACTTCGTTCAGTTTCTATAATAATTAATAGAAGAGGTTTATCCAACAATTTCGGAACCTGTTATAATTATTTCGTTCTTTTTGAAAGCATGTTTATACGAGCATATAACATCCGTTATTACAGCAACCGGAATCCTAAAATCTACTATCTGGGAAGTATTTACACAGTTGAGGCCGCATTTTTGTTTTATGATGTCTTTAAATAGATAGGTATTTATTTACTTATTCAAAGAATGAATGAATAATAGAATAATACAAAGTATACAGAAAAAATGTATCGTTCTAAAAAGCGATTATTTGTTCTTGATTTTAATTTTTGTGATTTTTCTAAATATTCATTATTTGTTTCAGTTCAAGGTAGTTTCGAGATGCAAGGGACCGTCTTCATGGCCCACAATCCCCAACAAGGCTTCCCCCCGCCATCAGATACCATTGGTAAGAACAACATTGTGAAACCTGTTTGATAGTTTCTATAATACATTTTTGTGCAATTATAATGTGCATTTTATGCATATTATGATTGTCTTTGACACCATACAATTTGAGATAAAATTTAAACAGATTTTAAAAGCAAAATTAAAATTATCGCGCGACTGAATATATTCAAATGAACTCACAAACCGATAAGAGTTGTTTGCAACTGAGTTAAATTCTATACTAAGTACTTAAATACCTATTATAAAATTCAAAATTGATAGTTGTGTCTTTATTTACAAGTTAGTGCGACTGTGACTGACAGTAAGTTTAAGAAAAAAAGAATATCGAACAGATTTATGAGTTTTGCAATTTGGGTTTTTTCAATACAGATCGTGAAACAATCAAGTGAGTTTGAGGTTTTCGAAACTATTGAGATAATTTACAGTACCCTGTACGTGAATTGAGAATACGTCTGTAATTGTCTGTGAATTTGACGCGTCTCAAGCGTGAATCATGATGATTTACAACTGCTGAACTTCATCGCGTGTTGAATGATTTGAAATTCATATTTGTCAACATCTGACCTCAAGAATTCGAAACATCATCTTGTCTGGAATTGGAATTTTCGTCGAGATGATTAATTGTTGATCGTTGCAGGTAATAACAAACTCTGTGAACAAGGTGCGACAGAGTGTAGTTTCAAAAATTCAGTTGGAAGACTAAACTTTTCAAATAAAGTTGAAGATTTTTTTAATGCTGAATCTTTCAAATGTTTTTTATATGATCTAACATTGACATCATTTGTTATATTATATTCATGTAACTGGTAAAACCTGATTTAAATATGCTCGAAAATTCCAATTTCATTTCATAAGTTATAATTCCATAATATTCATTGGTTACAATTACAATTTAATTACTATAAATAAAATAAGACTTTTCAACTTAATATCAATAAATCGAAATAATCATATAATAAATGTCTATTTTTACTGAAATTCTTTCAAATGCTGTAACTTGAGAACTGTGGGTCCTACAGCTCTAGCTCATGGGAACTTTTGGTAGCTAATTTGATGCTCTACAATAGTTTAACATTATTTTTTTCTAAAATCACTGTTAAATGACAAACAAAACGAGTTGAAACACAAAAAAAAATTATGTTATTTCGATATTTTTATTGGATTTTTTCTATAAGATATAATAATATTTTCAGAAGAGAAAATATCGCTTGACAATGAAACTGGTTGGGAGTCTTGAGAGTCTTGACGCAAACCGGTATGATTTCATGATAACAGAGTTCACTTTTTCTTATTGAGCATTCTAATGGGACATATTTTGAAAAAACTAATCGTTCCTAACCGTGAGAAAACATAGTTTTTCGATGGAAAACAAAAGTAAACGATGTATCCGAAACCGCAATTAAAAAAGTACGACCTTTCTCTCGATGAAGGAAACTAAACGTTCTCGTTTATCGACGAATCTGAAGTGCAGGAAAGGAAATGAAACCATGAAAGCGGTTTTTCAGTACGAATATCTCATTGTGGTCCATTTAATCAGGCATTTTCCGCTCTTTCAAGATTGCATCCGCTACTCGCGAGATTACACAATTTATCTCGACCGCGATTTTTTGTTTCAGCAATTACAGAAAATTATACCAGTTTAATCGGGGTAAGAAAAGCGCCTAAAAATCTCAAACGATCGTGTAAAATTCTAAGGCCGGCCACACGCTTACAGTGTGGCTAAGATTTGACAGTTCGTGAAAACATCCATACGATGTTAATACTAGCCATAGAAAATTCATTGAAATTTAAGCTGACGATTAGCGTTTATCGACAATTTACTGCGGAATATACATTAACGATAGTTTAAACAACAATACAAACTGTTTGACCTGTTGATTATGAGTTTATAACTAAAAACTGTAGATTATATTCAATCGTCAGTTTGAGGTATGTTTTACCTATAAGTTGTTGAAATCAACAGTTTAAACTATCGATTATATATAGCCGGATTTAAGAATCCGGCTCGAAGGACCAATACTCAATCTACTACTTTAGACATTATTCCACTGTATGTGTTCGATTCTGTTTGATTTCATCACCGGCGTAATATTCATCGTGCGACGCTTTCCGTCGATATTTGGGAAACTGCCGCTTGTCGATGCCCGCTTTCTCAGAATTTCGTTCTGCTCTCGCATTCCCATCGCGCTAACGCGATTACAGAAAAATTCCAGCTAAAAGCGCAGCCCGATACGTGATCAACACTTCTCCGGCTGATTTCCATAATCATTGTCCATAGTTTTGCGTAAGACCTTTCGAACAATAGTAATCGGGTCAAGTCGACGAATATGTCGTCGTGTTTACCAATATCGTGTCGAGAGACACAAAGACATTTTATCGGCGACAATTTCGTTTTCATGTCAGGTACTCTTCGTTCTCTTATCTTGGAGACGCGTAAGAAAGTGGGTAATAATAGTAATAGTAATTCTTTTTTACTGAATATCAAGTCTATATCAGAATAATAACAAAAAAATTCCAATACTTGTATATTTCGACATTCTAGTCCTAATAAATTCCAGTACATTCTAGATCACTTCAAACTTCTCAGTCGATCTTAATCTCACAGCGTATATTGACTACGTTAGACTAAATTGGTCTAATGTACTCGCATATACCAACTGAAAACATGGAAAATGTACCGCAAAGATGAACTGATAACCTTTGCAAAATCTTCACCCTTCAAAAAGATGTATCATTCCCCATTTTTTTATCGAAACGGAGGTGTACTTTTCGATTTATAATAGAATTAAAAATACTAATTTCTAACAATAATAATGTTTGGCCTTTGGTCTGAAATTTGATGTCGAATCATGCTCTTTCTCCGAAATAATTATCGATTAATAAGTTGAATTAAACAATAAACCTTTCTTGGAGTTATTTGCGTTGTATTTTTATCACCAAATGATCCTTTTCTTTTGAACAACACGCGCCGGAAGACAACCCATTCTTTATGCTTATATTTGTCTGGCCCAGTTCGGTATCATTTACAAATGTTTGTTATCAAACATAATGATTATTGTTTTATTCGAGATTAATCATTAGGTGTTTGAGTCTGTGTTTATGTTCCGTTTAAGTAGTTATTCGAATCCAGTCGATTATCATCTGTGCTATATGGTTATCAATTTGATGGGTTCGCAACATTATAATCCGCCTTGTTCATTTCGAGAATGTTCAGTTATCATCCGAAAACGATCTGTTATCTTCCGAAGACGATTGTGGGTATTGACAAAAGAAACGACGCCAAATATTAAAATCGCCTTCACCTGAATGTTTGTGAGTGTTAAGGTCGTCAGTTCATTTGCCAAAGTGACAATACAACGGACAGACGTACTAATCGTACATCATACTTTTGATGCTGAATGACGTTCTTATCTCTGACAAAAATGCGACTGACGATTTTCCCTAGTATTTTGAGAATCCAGCTGCATCAAGTCAAGAATGAAACAACGTGATATTTCAACGAACCATCGCGTCTCCATACGAACATTAACACACGAATGTTGAATATTAAACTGGTCATTATTTTATTATTTTGTGTAATTATTCTCTGAATCTGTTAAAAACATCTTTTCTACTCCAGAACATCAACAGCATCATCAGGAGGTGCTAACTTCGTTAGTGAAACGAGCGTGGAGATATAATATTTTGTTCTGGTTAAGTTCGAATTTTACCTATTAAGTTTTTCTCTAAAGGTAATCAATTCTAAAAGTACTCAAAGGCATTTTTGTTTCAGTCTCCGAAATGGAGCAACTGCCTTCACCGAGCCACCTCACCAAAGAATCGTTATCCAGCCAAAACGACTCCGGAATATTCTCTGCCACCAACACCACCATAGAGCAAACTGATATCTCCAAAGCTTCAGAAACTGATAACAGAAGTGACTGCTCTTCTCCGGAGCGGAAGTACCTTTGCCCGATTTGCGAGAAGATGCTGACGTCCCAGCACGAGTTCACCCTCCACATTCGATCTCACAACAACGAGAACGAGCCCCAGGACGAGAAGGGTTACACCTGCCGGATATGCTGCAAGGTGCTGAGCTCCAGCAGCAGTCTAGACAGGCACGTTTTGGTCCACAGCGGGGAGAGACCTTTCCACTGCAAGTACTGCGGGGATACGTTCACGACTAATGGAAACATGCACAGACACATGCGCACTCACTCCCACAAAGCCGAAAACAGCTACGAATCCGACGGAAGCACGGACAGCAGCAGCTCTAAGAGCACCGAATTCAATAACAACAAGGTTGAGAAAAGCGTCAAGAGAAAAAATCCGGAGCCAGAGTGCGGAGGAAAGAGACTGCGAGACCAATACGCAGACGTAGAACACTCTCAAGCCTTCAAGTGCCCCGTGTGTGAGAGAAGTGACTTTAACTCGCTGCTGGTGCTGGAAACACATCTTGAGGATAATCACCCCGAATACCCAGCTAAATGTGTCGTTTGCAAGCAAGTGTTTCTCAACAATAAACTTCTGGCGATGCACAGAGCCGCAGTTCACGAAAACCCGGTGGGAAAACAGCCGGTGGTAGGGTTCAAGGACTTAACTTTCGTCGACTTCTCCAGCGAGAAGTTCCCCCATATCGCGCGAAGAGAATGTGAGATGAACCTACACAAGGTCTCCGGCGGGCTGAAATTCCAATGCAAAAAGTGTGGCAGGGCTTTTCCTTGCACCAACTCACTAGACATCCACGAGCAGAGCTGTGTATCTTCCGACTACCACAATGGGCTGGACCTGACAAGCATTTCACAGCCGGAGATTCGTAGGATGGAGTTTTTCTCCAGGTTGAATCTGGTGGATAACTCGCCCGAGAAGCAGCTACCTCCCACGGCGGGTAACAAACTACGCGAACACCTAGCCAAAGCCATGGACAATACTAAAGATCTAGCCGACATCCAGTCTATTCTTTCCAACATAAACCTGCGGCAGCTCCAGGCGAAGCAAGCGGAACCTCCCAAGCATCCAGACCTGCAACCAGAGTACCAGAAGCATGAAGAGGAGGAGTCTCAGGACGTATTCGCCGTAGAGTTTCGCAAGATGAAACTACGTGGCGAATTTCCTTGCAGACTCTGCACGGCTGTCTTCCCAAACCTGCGCGCACTCAAGGGCCACAATCGGGCGCATCTCAACGGCAACACTAACGGCACCTACCACTGCAATATGTGCCCCCATTCCAGCGTCGACAAGGCGGCTCTGATCCGACACATGCGAACTCACAATGGCGACAGACCTTACGAGTGCTCGCTCTGTAACTATGCCTTCACGACTAAAGCTAACTGTGAGCGGCATCTGAGAAACAGGCACTCAAAAACGACGAGGGAGGAGGTGAAGAAAGCTATCATATACCATCCTTCGGAAGATCCCACAAATGAAGAACTCAACAAGCTCGGCGGCAAGGACGAGTCGAGAAAGCACGAGGTGGGATTCGAGAAAGTTCCTTGCTCCACCCCCAAGTTCGTTCCCGAAATCAACCTAATGAAGCCCACCATCCTACCAGTTGCTTCGGAGCAGCAGCTGAAACCCTCGAGGGTGTTTCCGGGAGATATAATTCGCAGGGAGAACCTGCAGGCGATGAACTACGGCTTCCCACCTGTTACGAAAATACAGGTGAGGAATATTGAGAGCCTCAAGGAAAACAGCTTCGTTGAGGACTCGGAAGACGAGTATGAAGATGAGGAGGACCAGCCTCTAGATCTGGTGTTAGATCTGAGCAAGAAAAAGCACAGCGATAACAGCGTTAAGCGCTTGGAAGTCGAAGATGAAGAGGAGGAAGAGCCTCAAGACTTAACGGTGAAGTCCCCACCTTTGCAGTCCCGGATCCCCCAGCAACACGTTCCCCCGAATATGGGGCAAATATTCGCTCAACACCTGTTCAAGACTCCTCCGAAGATCGATCCAGCCGCGCTGTACGCAACACAATTAGCTCTATGTCGCGGCTTCCCAGCCCTTCCCAACTGGTCCGGGTTTCCCCTGAACTCCCTGCTATTCTCCTCAATGTCAGCCTCTCTTCCTCACAACTCCCAAGACCTCAAGGAGAGAACGCAGCGGTTTCAGCTTGGCGGCGGTTCATTGATCTCCGAGGAATTGAAAAATCTCCATAACATGCAGCAGCCGCTCCGAAGCCCCACCTTGGTGTACCCTAACGGCTTCAAGATGGAAACTCCCAAGCCAGAAGGCTTCAGCACTCCAAAGAATCAACCTGAAGAGATGAAGCCTCTCAGCTTGAATATCGATTCGAGCTTCAGTGATAGCATGCCCAAATTGCACAGCCCGATACAGCTCCCCAAGCCCGATCTGATGCAGTCTCCCAACTCCGTCAAGATGGTCATTAAGAACGGAGTGCTGATGCCCAAACAAAAGCAGCGCAGGTATCGGACGGAGCGACCCTTCACCTGCGAGCATTGCTCTGCGCGATTCACGCTGAGATCGAACATGGAGCGACACATCAAGCAGCAGCACCCGCAATTTTGGTCTCAGCGTCAGCGCGGCAGTGTGGGCAATCCTGGAAAGAAGCCGCAACTGCCCGTGAAGCATGGTTACTGCGACCTCAGCATCCCCAGCTACGAGATGTCTAAGATGCACGACTTCGGCGACACTAAAGACGTGCTCAACGAGAAGCTCAAGTTCGCAATTCTCGCACAGCAGTTGCGCGCAAACCATAATGTGCGCGAGACCAAAGAAGAGGAGGAGGAAGATTACGCCTTGGTTATCGACGAGAACGAGGATAAGGCCGAGCCGGAGGCAGACTATAGTCGTAGCAGGATTCTGGAAGAAAAGCTGAAAGAGCTTCAGCAGCTGAAGGTCGAGAACAGGGCGCCAAAGATCGAGGAGAGCTCCGATTTGGTTCCCGTGTCGAAGCTGTTAGACGATGCCTCGCAGCAGCAGTTCAAGGAGTTTTTCAAGAGGGATAACGAGGAGCAGGAGGTAGGGGTCGTTAGCGAGGAGGACGAAGAGGGACTAGTGGCTAGCGGCAGTACGAGCGAAGGAAATGTTTCCGGAACTGATGAGAACAAGTGAGTAACAGATTTCATTTTAACTTCAATTATTTTCGTCTCAAAAAATAAGGTGGTGATTTGATTCCAACCAGGCATTTGTAATAATCGATTTCGAAAAAATGTAACCTAATTACATTGCTTTTGAATGAACTCCTTCAATTAATTCATGAAACAACTGACAAAATTTTAACAATTGAATTTTAATAAAATCATAAACTGAACAGATCAAATTAAAGTAGTTGACTTATTTCTGGTAAAAAAGATTATAATCAACATTTATTATCTTCAATATTTATGGTGCAATGAAACACTTTCTTTGTTACAGATCGGAGTCCGACACAGTTCAACCCGTCAAGAAAAAATCCGCCTACTCCCTGGCGCCCAACCGCGTTAGCTGCCCCTACTGTAGCCGAAAATTCCCCTGGACGTCCTCCCTGCGCAGACACATTCTCACTCACACCGGCCAAAAACCGTTCAAGTGCAGCCACTGCCCTCTGTTGTTCACGACCAAGTCGAACTGCGACCGCCATCTGTTGCGTAAACACGGCAACGCAGCCACGACCATCTCCAACGAATCGGGCAATAACAGCGCCAACTACCTGATGCGCAACGTACCCGAACGACCGTTTAAATGTTCCAGCTGCCCGAGCAGTACATTTGCGACCTACTCTAACCTAAAAAAACACATCAGTTGCAAACATTCGACGAACGCGCAGGGTGACGACATCAAGGCCCAAGGATACGAGGCGGGGAGCTCCGAAGACGAAAAAGTGCCTAACGCGGAACAAAGGCACGACTGGGAGAACCAAATCAAGACAGTTGCCGAACCTGGTACGCAGAACTCCGACCTGCCTTTCAAGTGCCACCTATGTGAGGGTTCGTTCGGAGAGCGACAGGAGGCGCTCGACCATATTCGCGACAAGCACGTCTCCGAGTACGACCTGCTAATGTCGAAGAATGCACTCGATAGCAGCGCCACCACGCCTGACGATTCCGCTCATCAGGAAGAAGAGGAGAGCGAAATTCGTGGCAAATTCCCCGACTACTCGAACCGGAAAGTGATCTGCGCATTCTGCATGCGCAGATTCTGGTCGGCCGAGGATCTGCGCAGACACATGCGCACGCACACTGGTGAGCGACCTTTCAGCTGCGACATCTGTAGGCGGCGGTTCACTCTGAAGCATAGTATGCTGCGGCACAGAAAGAAGCACAACGTCAGCTTCGATCACGATATGAACAACAGCGATGAGGAGGTGCAGAGTTCGTCGCCTCCCTACAAGGCGGAGAGGGTGGTTTTCCATAAAACCGACGAGTCTGACGGCGCAGAAGGCGGAGGTGACTTGATCAGTAACTTGCTTGGTTTGAGAGATAGGTCGATTATCGATAAGGTTCTGGCGGCTTCGGCGGACGACGCTGCCAAGTTGCTAGGTGTTAAAAACGGCGTTAAAGAGTGAAGTATTTTGGTAAGAATTTCTGGAAAGCATTCCATACTTGTTGGATGGTAGACGTTTTGCATAGTTTTCTTGGTTGGTATTCCTGTGGGCAGTCTTTGAAAAGTAAATAAAGTGATATTTTTTTGTTGAATAGGTGAGGTTGATAACGTCAGATGATTTAGAAGGCAAATAGACCTATTAATGGAGTCATGAAAATAAAATTAGGAATATTATTTTTCGCAAGGATAACATTCCCTGGAAAGTGTGAATGGTGAGTGGTAAGAGTGATTGAATATGTTCTTGTAATATCATTCCATCTATACCACTTAACAGAGCAGAGTGTCAGTAGAACTGACCGTGGTTACTTGTCGAATATTTGTGGACGTGGACAAGTAGACCATTCAACCACATTTTTGTTACTTTTCTAGTGTAGAATTCACACTAAATTGCTTTTTTAATATTCAGTAATTTATTTTATGGAATTAACTCGAATAATTCAAGATAATCTGAAAGGAAAACTATCTCTTCGGTTTTTATTGAATAAAACTGTGATCAAAAGTTAATTCAAGGTTTTGTGATACTTTTCAAAGCTGCCAATATATATTTTATCACGTTTGCCAACCAAAAAAAGTAAATGATATGCCAAAACATTTTTTATCTAATCGGTTTTTTCAAAGAAAATTATTTTGTATTATATTTGTTTTAGGGTTATGGAATCTGTAATTGTAAAGATAATCAGTCTAGTCAGGTTTATTCCAACGAATAGAATAGCATTTGATGCGTCGATTATTGAATATTATTTTTGAAATGAGTATAGACTAGTTGAAAGTGTATCATATTATTATTTTACGGAATTTTTATTATTTAATGGAGATATATTTTATATTTGTACATAACAAATTATGATACGGTCTAGGAATACCAAAAATAATTTATTTCTTGTATTCACGCATGGATTTTTGAAATCATCGGAATACAACACACTTGATTCTAACGTACTTTTGCCTTACACGAAATTGTGTCTTATTCTTCGCCTTGATATACACTGTACACTAGCAATACATTTATTTTTAGAGTGACACGATTTTTTAGGATAAGAACATGTAACATACCACGCCCAAAGATGGCATTCTAGAAAAAAGTGTGGGATACTGTTTTTGATTCTAAATGGTTTGTTGTAAATTTTGTTGGAACTCTATAATCGAATTTTATTTTCTTTCCCACACTTCTCTTTTGAATGCCCACGAAAAAATCAAAATTAGATTTAAATTATTTAGAAATTTATTTTCCGTAGCTTAAGAGTGAATCTACCACCTAGTTTTGCTGTGAGATTTATTTATTCGGAGCCGCACGATTTTTATTTTCTTGTGCACCTTTTGATTAGTACGGTATTTTTCACCATTCACGCTGTGTCTTAAGAAAACATAGCTTTTGATACAAGCCCCTCATGGCCCCCATTGTATGGGGGCTGGGGCGAAATCGAGAAGCAACTTCAAAGCAATCGAGTGAGTAAATATGTGTACCTAGGTCTAATTGTAATTTATGAAAATGTAATGATTATCATTAGGTTTACGATATTATGCCATATTTATTTAGAATATTGTGTTAAGTTGTGAGATATAGTACCTACATTTTACTGAATTGTAATGATTGGATATTTCTCTCTAATAAATGACAGTTAATGCTCATATCATCTTTCTTTCCTTCATGAGATATCAACAACATAACCGATACATTTCAGTTGTTCACTTTCGGTTAAAACCTGTTTAATCTTCTTTTTGAAGATGATCATTTGGTGACTGAAACGCATGTCGAGGTGTTAAAAATAACCGTTTAACCCGCAAACTCAAGAATGTTAGCTAGTTATTGCAATATAATACTGAAGATCTCAAGTTATATCAATAAGAAATGTTTCAATATAAATTCCAGCATCATTAGAAAATTAAATGATTGATTAATTTTCTGGTGTTCCTGTTAACTGACCTTTGAGACAGACCAAATATACGCGGGCTTAGAGCACACTTTTATTATAGAATATAATAAAAATATAATTAACTTACTGATGACTAGATTTTGCTATCTTTGCAGAAAGATGCTCACTTTCTAAATTATCACTGTCGGACATATATTATTTTTAATTATTTTTAAAAATCACTCATTTAGTAAAACACAGGTTATGTATATTGTATTAAACCAAACTGTATACACTATATTTTCAAACTGAAATTTCGTCAGTTATGGCGGGAAATCTTCAAAGCAAATATTATGTTGACAGTATATGCGCTCTATATCTTATGAGATATGGTATACATATTTAAAAATAAAAGTAGATTTTCGGTGTCAGAAAGACATCCATACCATGCATCTATAAGAGTTTTCAATATATTACCACAGAGACTTAAAATGTTAGGGAGCCTGGAAAAATTCAAAACAGATGTCAAAGAGCTCCGGATCAAGTTAGAACCTTATTCGTTTCAGGAATATCTAGATAATTTTTAAACATTTATGTACAAATTGTATGACGTTGTTTCATTTTATGTTTTCTTTATATACTGTAAAGAATGTAGAGCAGCATTCTCTGAAATAGGTATATTAGTTATTATTATTATTGCTATCCGAGCTCAGAGTGGCGAGAGAGATAGCGTAACACCGAACCATTGGAAAGAGAATGGTAATATTCGGTTTTACGTGCGGCTATAGATGTTTCACATAAAAAAAACAAAAAAAAGGATGGAAAAATTAGTGACTCAAAGTATACCTAGACGGACCTTAATTTCGTAGAAAAATCAATGCAAAATGTCAGTTTAACATTTTCTCAATATATAAAATTCGAAAAATTAATTATTTTCAAAAGTGCCGTAGATCGAGTGTTCTCGTCAAAATATTTTACACCGTGGTATTTTTATGCATCTTAATCTCGGGGATGATAATTGTCTACCTAGAATTTTTTTCGACATGTTAATGAGTGTGAAACTGGTCGAATTGCAAAACTTGATTTTTGCTCGGCAAATATTTCGAATCTACTGCTAAATATGACATCAAACATCTTAACGTCATAAAGCTGCAAGATGAATGTCACTTCGGTAATCTGTACTTCACTGTGCAAAAGAAGGCGCCTCTGGCACGGAAAAGTGAGCAATCAAAATTTTCACCCTCAAGCGCGGAAAAATTGGTACGTTTTCCTTACACAGATGCCAGTACGAATTTCTCATCGGTTAAAGCAAACAAACGAAACACAACAAACCGTTTCAGAAATTTTGACCACATAAACGTTTCTGTCATAGATTAGATACTATCTGAAGAACAGAAAGTTGGAAGTTCAGTAATGGCGGTCCGATATTTTTACTAAAACTCTTTGTTTCTATGAATTGATCTAACCCTTCGATGTAGAGGCCCTGTTTCGTCCTTAAAAAATGGCGGAGGTCGCCGAAATTAGTTTTTCCAGATCAGTGTTTCCCTTGAGTGTCTCTTCTGATTCTTTAAATTTCTGTGCTTCTGGTTTCTATGAGGGTTTCTGTCACAGACATGGACCTACCACGGAACAACTGTCGTATTATGGTTTCTATCTGTCAATGTCAACTGATTGTTTATTTTCAGGTTATAATTCAATATTAATTGCAACCTAAACATTGAAGTATAGTTGGTGTACTCTTTGATTGGAAAAAACCAAACATTTATTGATTAGATACTATCTGAAGAACAGAAAGTTGGAAGTTCAGTAATGGCGGTCCGATATTTTTACTAAAACTCTTTGTTTCTATGAACTGATCTAACCCTTCGATGTAGAGGCCCTGTTTCGTCCTTAAAAAATGGCGGAGGTCGCCGAAATTAGTTTTTCCAGATCAGTGTCTCCCTTGAGTGTCTCTTCTGATTCTTTAAATTTCTGTGCTTCTGGTTTCTAAGAGGGTTTCTATCACAGACATGGACCTACCACGGAACCAACTGTCGTATTATGGTTTTTATCTGTCAATGTCAACTGATTGTTTATTTTCAGGTTATAAGTTATAATTCAATATTAATTGCAACTTAAACATTGAAGTATAGTTGGTGTACTCTTTGAATGAAAGAAACCAAACATTTATTATCAGTGTCTTCGTCAATATTTCACCTGATCTTTGTAGAATTACCAACAGAAATGGCCGACGTAAGGGATATTATGGAACTGGAGAGACCACCAACTCCAGAAATAACTAGAGAAACAATATTAGGTCCAGATAGATACAAAAAACGCAATTCTACTGGGCCGAAAGTCTCCAAACGACCTGAAGGAATGCATAGAGAAGTCTTCGCCCTTCTCTACAATGATAACAAAGATGCTCCTCCACTTTTCTCATCAGACACAAGTATGGTTTTGAATGTCCTACAGTTTCCATTAAATCTATCTTGAGTTTTATTTCAGTTGGAAACAATGGTTACAAGCAGACTAAGATCAAGTTGGGCATGAGGAAACCGAGGAAGTGGAAATGGATGTCCTTTACAAACCCGGCTCGGACGGATAACGCAACATTCCATCACTGGAGACGACCGTCTGACGAACCAAAAGAATATCCATTCGCTAAGTTCAACAAGGCGAGTTATTTTTCCAGGAACAAACAAAATTAATTTTATGTTTCAGGCTTACGAGAAATTTCAAAATGATTGTGATTTCATATCAAGATTGAAAAAAATCTTTGGAACAGAATTTCTATGAAATAGAGAAATTTTTAGAAATTTAGTTATTTGTTTATTTATTTTGTTGTTGGTATTCTAACTATTTCACTGAATGTGAATATTATAAATTGTGTTTTTAATCTTCATTTTTCATCACTGATTATTCCTATACATATGTTTGTCTCGAATGGAAATTAAATGCTATTATTAATTATATCAAATTTTATAATAAATTTCTGTAAATCATACCCAATTGAAATTTGTAGAAAGTGGACATAGTGTCATATACAGATGCAGAATACCAGCAGCACCTCAAATGTGATACTTGGACTAAAGAAGAGACCGATCATCTGATAGATTTGGCAAGAAGGTTCGATCTGAGGTTCATTGTAATGGCTGATCGCTATGATTCAGATCAGTTCAGTAAACGATCTGTTGAGGATTTGAAGGACAGATATTATAAAATCTGTGGAACTCTGGCAAAGGTAAATGTAAATTTGCATCTTGCAAGTTCATCGTCTGATTCCAATTGTGACAATTTTAATTCTATTAATTGTGTGATGTAATCCCAATGATCTTTCAAACACTCATTCAATGGTCTTGAAGTTTCATCAACATAACTTTTACCACAAGAACAATTTTTGTTCTTCTGTATTTTTGGGTTTTGTGTTTATTTTTTTCGGATTGTGAAAATCCCCAAAAAGGTCGATAAAAAACCCTCTATAATGTGACATGTGCAATTTAGGCGATATGTTTCCCATCATATAGAAGATTTAGAGTTTGGTTCGATATTGCTTTAAAAAAGGGAACTTGCCTTAGGACAATTAATTGTATTTCTCTCTTTCTTTCTATACTTTAAAAGATATTTAACAATAGTTTTTTCGTAGTTGAATGGTGAAAAAAGAGTATACACTTATGATGCTGATCACGAACGTAGGAGAAAGGAACAGCTAAAAAAATTGTACGAAAGGAAGCCAGAACAGGTAATTTTACTCGATTTTGTTGGATGCTAGTAAATTATGATGCATTTGTGGTTGCAGATCGAAGAGGAGCAATTTCTACTGGGAGAACTGAAGAAAATAGAGGCCCGCAAGAAGGAACGTGACAGAAAAACTCAGGATCTACAAAAACTGATCAGTCAGGCCGATAATCAGAATGAAACTCCTCGGAAGATTGATAAAAAGTTACCCAAGAAAAAAATTGCGAATCCTTTGAGGCCTTCTAGGGTCGATCCCAATGTAAGTTTTTTTATTTTGAAGACTTTCCCAGTTTGAAATATTGTATTGTTTCGAATATGCCATGCAATTCAGTAAAATTTTAAGAATTTCATTTCAACTTAAACTATATTTGTAACAATATCTACAGGGTGATTTTTACTTGATACTACTTTGAGTAAGGTGAATTGTTCTATTTGATCCGAATACATAATGATATATAAGGTGTTATGGGTCGGTCATGCCTATACAAAACACCCTGTAAGCCTGAAACTTTTCTCAAAAATTATTTTATTTCTTTTTCAATCTTTGTAAATAAAATAGTAACCCATCTCATTCAACAAGTTTGAAATTGCTCTATACATTGATTATAGATTACAGGGTGTTCCTAATTGTCAAGGAAATATTCAACTGAGTGAACTTTTGATATTTTCATAAATTTCATTACATGCCCCGTATCTGAAGTTATCAAGTTGAATCAAACTCTTGAATTTTTATAAATTGATGATATAATTCTTTGTATACATGTACATAACAAGGAGTACGATTCAACTCTATAGCAAACTTTAAGTAAACAAGCAAAAGTTGAAAACTGACTTCAAATTTCTAGAATGGCTGTGAAAATAAAAATTTTTTTGAGCGTTTCAATCTCGATCAGATGCTTCAAGAAATGGGATTGGGTGAGTTTTGCTTTTCTCAATCCTTATCCATGTGTTTTTCAAACATCAAACAGACCATAACGACTGGTGTTCCACATAGACATTGTTACCACCTTCGTATAAAATGATAGATAGATAGATAGATACATTTATTTCAACAGAGTATTTTATAATCATTCACAGGAGTGGCAGAAAATTTTTGTCTGAGAAATACGTCAAGAGGAAAATTGTAAAGATATCAAATATGTGTACATATAAATCTAAAAATGAAGCATTCAAAATGAATTGCTTCATACATAGCGCAATTTTGAATAAAATTTTGTTTCATAAATTTCCACAGGCCAGAAAATATTCATCAGTATTGTAGGGATGCAGATTACATAAGAATTTTCTTACAGATTTCAGAAATCTGTTAGCAACAACAATATCTTTTATGTTTTTCGGAAGATTATTATAAATAGTATGACAAACGAATCTAACTTATTGATTTTGTCACTAGATCCATTGAAATCCTGTTAATTTCGTCACCAGACTCATTGAAAACCTGTTGATTTTATCACAAGCTTCAATGAAATCCTTTCGATTTTATCGCGAGATCCATAAACTTTTAGTAATTTTTGGTATATCTAGTAACAAAAATATTAGGATCTAGTGAAAAAAATTTACAGGATTTCAATGAGTTTAGTGTCGAATCATATGACAATGCCCAGCTCCACAGCATGTGTGTTATTTTTGTTTATATTTATTTTACTATTTTTTCAAATATGTGTGTCTTGAATAGTCAAATGTGTCTGTTTGTGTTTTGAGTTATTATGAAAATTATGATGTAATTAATGTCTTCATTACATTGAATAAACTGATTAATTGATGTTCTTATTAGTTTCAGTCTTGAAGGCGATACTTGATGATAATGTGTAAAATGATATTATACTTGAGAAAGCTATTGTCTAGCGAAAGTCGTGACGCAGTTTTTTTTAAATCTTTTATAGTGAAAATCATAAAATAAACTGTATTAATAAGTTTTACTTTTGATCTATTGCAGAAATAAAAAATACTTTGTTTTACTTTACTTTCAGAGTTGAACCCGACTCCATCCGAAGAGATATGCCAGCACTTCAACGAAATGAGGAGCGATATGGTGTTACTGATGGAAATTAAAGCTGCTTTGGCAACTTGTGAATACGAACTGCAGTCTCTCAGGCATCAGTTCGAAGCTCAAAACCCAGGAAAGGTAGGGGGAATATTCATTTATTTTATTCATTGAAGTAGTTCTTATAAACACCTCAGAGGTTGTAATTACATGCAGAGGCAAGTCCTTAAAGCTAAGTACAATCTAAATAAACTCACAGTTCCTGAAATTGATTATGAAAATGCAAACAATCTAGTCTAGTTTCAAAAAATATTTTTTAGTTTTTAACGTTTTTTTGGCTAGTGTTTTTCCACGGTAATGCCTCTTCTTGTGTACCATCTGAAAAATTGCAGAATTTATTTCAATTCAACAAGTGTTTCTACGACAGCATGAAGGCACAGCAATGGAAAACCCACTGGCCCCTTTGTAGCTAATCTGTTAACGTGCAGATTTGAATTGGGAGTGAAAAAATCAAAGATAGAGGTTTTTTGGTTCAGATATGCTAAGAATATCTAGATTTTGATCTTCCATTGTCAATACTTTGAGAATTTATATGGTCTACTTTTGTTTTCAAGTGTTCAGTTTTATAATTTTTCTGTTTTTAGAAATTATCTGTAAATTGTTCAATACCATAGTTTTTTTCAGAGTCTAGCTATCCCGCCGCAGTTATTGTCTAACACGGAAACTGATGTGAAAATTTCCACGATTTCCACCGGGGAAATCATCGACGTTGTGGGATCTCCGGGGACGCCTTTCAGCACCTAGCTAAGTGGAATACGTGTTTGAAGAATGTTTTCATTGAACAAATGTTAAAACAAGTCACAACATAATCTAATTGGACTTGTATAAATGTTACTACAGTCTATGGGAGTAACTTGATATTGGTTTGAATCATTTCTACATATGGACTGATGGTTGCAAACCAAGAAAAGAGTAATATGAAGAGTTTTGTAATTTTGCAGTAGAAGTTTTCTTTGTTACAATTCGTCTCTATTTCAACAAGTAGTCTGATATGTGAATAAAAATTGATACTTATGAATAAGTGAAGGCTTCATTTTATTATTAAGAAATCCACACATACATATAAAGTAAAACAACACACACACCCCTTACCCCCAAACATACCCCCCTATCCACCAAGCACACTCCCACACACTACGCACAACACGCGCGCCATACAACGCCACATACAAACGCTTATATGCCACACACACGAAAGTAGAACAGAAATAAACACACTATACATATTTTTCAAATCTTTGTCAATAAGACGTTAAAGCAAAGTATTATATTGACTATTGTTTGTAAACAGCTAATTTCAACGTCTTCATTCCCGGTAAGGTATACAAAGCGCCAAACGTGATGGCGAGCTCGTCCCCATGTGTACAAACTTATTTTCAAAGCAACCCTCACTACAACTCTTGCAAGACATACAAATACTCTGTACAGAGGCTTATCATTACTTGTCCTCCAATGCTGTTGGCGTTTGGCATTGTCTGAATAATTTGTGTTGTTTCTGAAAAAATGTCATCACCTAACAAAAAACCAGTCACCAAGGGTCAGGATAAGTGTAACATGATAAAACATTTTGATGAACTGTACTACTAACTATAAAAATGAAAACAATATGAATGTTTTGAAAATGTGCACCACCACAATATTTGGCATAAAAATGATTTGAATACAAATTATTGCCAAATTGGACCAAATTTTTGGGCTGTGAAACTTTACAATGAATTACCAAAAAAATAAGATCTCTACCTAACAACATATAAAAAAACCCCTTCTTCAGAACCAACGAATTCATGCACTGTGATATAAGTTCTTCAACCATATACACGTTTATCGTTGTTTTATAATATCCAATTTTAAATTTTACTGCTTTGTTTTTAAGTGTGCTCGTCGACGTAACTCAGATGTATAATTTCTATTTCGTTCCCTTCAAAGTAGTCCCCCTCAGATATAATATACTTGGGAGCAACCATATTTCATTTCATATAATTTTATAATGCTTATTCAAGCTATTCATCTAATTGCTATATTTGTAATAATTATTTATGTTTTGTACTGGGCTTATCCTGTTGAATAAAAATGAAAGACTTGATAAAAAAAAAGAAAAACATTTTATTGAAAAATTAAAAAACTCAGTCAACGTACATGTCTCTATTGTTGGAAACAATAAATGCAATAAAAACAGATTGAAAACACATAAAACGAACGGTGACTTAAGGTTAAACTTGGACTCGTGGAAGAATCCAACTTTAATCTGGAGGGTAATAATAATGGAGGCTTAGATGATATCACTTATGAATAATTTACAGACGACTTTTGCGTATTCTCTGGCAGCATCCCATTGAGATTGCATCCCCCTGGGAACATCCCTAGAAGACAAAAATCTAATGAAGATATCAGACTTCAAATCACATTAAAAAAAGAGAAAATTTCCTAATGATTCCTCCTTATTTCCAGCGAATCTGTTTTTCCGCTAAACAGCTGTCGCACCACTATGAGCGACAATCCTCAGAAGTCGAAACTTGTACGAGGTAAGGACTAACGAGGTCTTACCTTTTAACGTGTGACTCCTAACACGGGTTGGACGATAACAAGTGAAAATCGATCGTTCAGCGTGGGGCTTGAACCACCGACCAACACGGCAGTCGATTTGAGTGAGCGAACAAAGCACACACGTCAAACCGACCGGCTACCAAAACTTGGTAACTTGACCTCTTGTACATTCACATTTTAAAATTATAACATTAGTTTCCTGTCACTGTAAATGAAATTGTTGCTCAAAATATGTCAAAACCTACGAACGTTTTGGATATGACAGGTCATCTAATACCTATTATAACTTGTATATGCGGAATTCTTTTCCGAGTATTCTTCCGTGCAGAGTTCCTAGAATGTCGACGTCCCACCATCATCTCAGATGGTGAGATCAAAATGTGTTGAGCATCTTGCTTTATGATTTCACTTGAGAGTAGGAACATAAATAGAAATTTAAAATATTGCAAAATATTTCAAAAAAAACAAAATATTAACTAATACGTCTAATAACCTAAAAATTTGTCAGAGAGAAGATAGAAGATGAACATAACATATATACAACGAAGACAGATTGCAAAAATCAATAAGCCTGATGTATATGTATGTATGTATCTTTGCCATTTTGAGGATAAGAACGAAATTGACTCCTTTTAATCGAAATTATACTATCAGACAGTTACCTTTCCATATTTTTAAATTGAAATAATGCATTTCAAAAATCATTGACACCCCTTGCGTCTCGGGAGCTATCTCTTGTGTATTCTGTTCGAGCTCGTTTCCTTTGGGGCTCGCTAGATTGAGGGCTCAGGTCTCTTTTTTTGCTGCTCTGGAAAGAAAAATGTATAATGCTGCTTCAGTGCTTGCAATTTAACGCAAAAAATATCTTATTGGTACCCCCACTGCTTTTTTTTTGCTGACCCCACTATTGCTATTTTGGAAATGGAAATACTCACAAGGTCAGTTTAATTGGACAAAAGCTTTCTATTTTGGATAACTAAAATTATCTTTTTTCAGATCGAGAATATCAGTAGTTGTTTATCATGTGCTGATATGGTATTTAGTTTAGCAAAATCAAATAGAAATCCTCCATTGGCAAGGAATACGTATATTGAGCTATACCCGAATCGTTGTATTCCAAAATTACAATTTTTTTGGTTGTTGCTTGTATTTGTAATTTCAGTTTTTTGTTTAATAAAATTGTTATTTTTCGATAAATCTTTTCATTTTTTTTTCACAAATTCTTTCAAGGATTTCAAATCAATTTATATTATATTAGACAATGGAAGTCCGAACTGATGAAATACACCACGAAACATTGTCAACCACCTTTAAACAAATGGGTCTAGCCAATTCCGACATAGCAATTGTGATATCAACTAAAAAACCGACCTGTATATATATGAAGATGAAATATACTCACATATTTTTTATCCCAATGCTGGTGCATATATTTCAACAATATACTAGTCTTTTCTGTTACAATAACTGAAAAAATAATAGTTCTTTATATATTGTAAATCTTGTCAAAAATAATATGGGTGATTGTCAAAATAATTGAACCAAATTACAAATGAACAATTTGTTCAGTGTCAACTCACCTATACTGAAATGAGAATCTACATTGTATTAACTGTATTTTTTATTACTTGTATGGGATTATGTATACCATTACATAATGTAGTAATGGTAACTGGTACTTATATGAGTTTTAAAATTCTCAATTTAGTTTCTTTTTCCGTAATTTGAATTTTCTGTAACTCAAATTCAACTCCTTGTTCCTTGGACATTCGAGTCAGGGAAGTTTACCTGTAATTGTTGTATTGTCAACAAATGATTTAACTGATCCTCCCAGAGGTAAATTTGTTGATTGAATCGTATTGTGTATATTGAAGAAACCATAATTAATGTTAAATTTTTTTACATTTCATTAATTTTGTCCAAAACTGTATTCTTTTTGGTAGCCTCATTTGTAATACTTGTAGACACTTTTTTTTCGTCTATTACCATTCTTTAATAAAAACCAAAGATAGTAACATAAAACATTCATTTTTGAACAATTTTATTCCAATTATCATGACAATCAGCCATATATATATCTACAATTTTATCAATTTAAACTTACTTTGCTCAGAAGGGTAATCCTTGGTAGGTACATAAACTGATGGTCTTGAAGGCGATCTGTTGGAACTATCTACATGGAACTTTGCGAAGTTATTCTCGTTATATGAGGGCATTCCTTCCAGAAACTGAGAAACAGACTGAAAAAAGAGGTTATTTAAATGTGAACAGGGTATGTATAAACATTACTTGCCATTTTTGGGATACCGTTTTTCAAAAATTTTAATTCAATGTCTGAGAAGTTAACCTCCAACTTCAAATACTTGACCGACTTTTAGAACTTCTACTATAATAATTATTCAGTAAATTTTTATTGAATACAATAATAACATTAGGGCGAGGTTACGCAAGGTTTGCCAACATTGCTGAAATCAATGTTGCCAATAGTGATGGGCTAATTCGAATTAAAAATAATCGATAATTCGATTATCATAATAATTCGAGATATCGAATCGATTATCACAATAATTCGAATTAATTTTTATATTATTCGCAATCACAGATCAAACGTTTGACACTAACGGCGGCTGACGTAAAAATGACAGTAATTTTTAAATTGTACGGCACGACTCGATACTTATTATATTACTCCGAACAGTGACCGTATCTATAAATGCGTAAATTAACAATGTCTATTTAGTGATTCTCCTGCGCATTGCGAGTGATTTATAATTCGAATGATAATTCGATTATTCATACAATTCGATTACTAATAATTCGATTACCAAAATATTTCGATTATGCTCATCACTAGTTGCCAAGTAATGCTATTGATACTAGCATTGTGTTATATACAAAGATACTAGTAATTTTTATTTAGAAAACAAATATTCTGTGTCAATTAACAATATTGAGAAAAACCAAATGGAAAATGTTTGGCTGCATCTAGAACAAAAAATGCTGAGCTGAATGAAGTTTAAGAGCTTTTAGAATAGACTAGACGGTGTATATGTCAAATGTCTGATTTCAAAAAAATTAATGAAATATATAATGCGCACATAAGTAAGAGAAAGATATTGTTCACGGAAATGAATTGTTTTTAGATCAAAATTGAAAAAAATCCTGGACGAGAAACAGATATCGTTGAAACTGTAATGAATAACCTCCTGCAGTCCACGCCAAGAAGTGCTCGTGACCAACAACCATTGATAAGAAATACCTCAAAAGACATAAGTTTCACACCTATGTGTTGGAATTGTTGATTATATAAGTTCGATGCTAATATTTTTTCTCCCTGTATGAATAATTTTGTTTTCTGGTTTGTTTTGTATCTATTGTATCCAGTTGAATTCAATTGTTAATAGAAGAATAATAAAAAGTAATTACAAGAAAAGTCAAAAACCTATTTTTAAGCGATACAATAAATAAGAATCCATCCCATTTACAATACTATGAACTAAAAATATAACATGATGAGTTGAATGAAGATGAAAGTAACAGAAGAATGCAGTGTTGTTTGTGATTACCTAACTTTTCAATGAAATTCGAACGTCACTAACTCTGCAGCCGGTTATCGAAATTAATGGAGTTCATTGTACAGAAAATTGAAATACATTTCATATGAAAGATCACAAGACCCCCTTTCTATTTGAAAAACAAAGATAGCGCCCTCTCGGCGGCAAGTGATGTGACAGTATTGTTTCTTTTTATCAAAAGTTACTGAAATTGATTCCTTTCAATACAAATTCTGTTCGAATATGACCTCAATATGATATCATGCGGATAAGCGACTTCAACAGCTTTCCGTTTTTTTTGTCCTGAATGCAGCCACAGAATACTTCGAGTTAAGAAGAAACACTCATCGGGTGGCTCTTTGATGTTTAAGAGAGAAGCTTCTCTGGCCTGCATTCTGTGTTCGAGATGTTTTAAGTCATTTTTAGCGGTAAATTCAAATATATTATTTAATTGCCTGCAATATCGGCAGATTGTTAGGCCAACATTTCAACAAAACTAACTTTGTTTTACCAGATTCATGTTCAAATTGGAAGAGGTATATTTTCAGGAGAGGTTAATTTTTCCAAAAAGAAAGTTTTTGGCTTTTTAATTTTCCATCTTGATACAAAAAAAAATTGTGAGAATCTTCTAAAGAAAGGAACATTAAGGGTTTATTCTTCTTATTCTTGAAGATGATCACTTGGTGATTGACACACGTGTCGAAGTGTTAGAAATAACGGTTTGGTGTTGGAATAGAACTCCAGTAACACAGCGATGAAATTATAATTTCGTCGTACAAGCATTCAAATGTTCGTTGTTTCGTTTATTTATTTCAAAATTCGTTTACAGAAATGTTAAAGATTACTTTTTACAATAACTATACTATAATTTCAAAATAGTAGACACTAAATTCTCAGAAATGACTGACGTTTTTGCCTCAATCTATCTCTTGCAGTGGCGTACGTAAAGTATACTAAACAAATGAGGAAAAATTAAAATAAAATATAGTAGATCTCAAAGTTATTGTTTGATGAGTCAGTGTTATGATTATGTATCAGAAAATATGTCCATGGACAGCTTTCTCGAAGATCCAAAACTGGCAGCAAAGAAATAGAAATTATTGAATAAATTCATATATTTGTTTACATTTCGACAGGGAAGAATTCACTCCCAACAGATAATATACTGTGTATGCATGTATAATTATTCTCGAAGATTCATCCAGGTTCTCAATATTGAATATTAGAGCTAATTGTAATGATGACTTGTAAAACAAACTGACCTGCTTCACATACAACATGTATTATTTCCGCCAACAATATCTTCACTAAAGGAGTTCTGAGATAATATTTGTTAAAATAATTAATGTAAAATACTACGTAGAAATTTCAGTCCAAAATGTCACTTTGATGAATTTTTAATTAATAATAAAATGTAAACTTTCACAGCCAGAGTTAACTGTATCAAAGCTATTTTCCGGGTTTGTTGGACGTGGTCTGAAGGTTTTTAAGCCTGACGTTCCGCAAAAGACTGCAGTGGACATTATCAAAACGCTGTGTTCTCGTTGTCCTCAGTGTATATCACTTCGTCAGGTATATCTGTTTCTGGTTCTATTCCATTATTTCAGGCATCCATCCTAATATCTTGGACAAAGTAAATAAAATATGTTTTACCTATGTTCTGGTATCCCATGATTAATCCGATTCGCAATAAAGTTCAAAAAAAAATTTCATCTTATTTGTAGCAGCCATTCAATTCACAAAAAGCATGGCTGCGTCTTCGGAATATATTGACAGATAATAGTACAATATAGTATTTAAGATGAATAAATATGTAAAAAATGTTTTGATGATAATGGCATTCTGTTACTAATTCACTACTTCTTTTTTCACCAAAAATAATGTTTATCGAAATCAAATCTGTGACGTAATTAAGACAGTGTTTACGATTATTGGATGAAATTTATTTGGTGAAAAAGAAGATTACGCGTTATCTACAGAATATTTTTAGAACCGACATTTTGATACAGATTAATTTACTGTTCATGGGCATGGTAAGGTTAAAGGTCACACTATAGGCACAGAACAAAAGCAACTGTCAAAGTAGGCATTTTTGACATATCACTCAATTTGTTTATTATTGTATATTCCAGATGATTCATTTTCAGTTTTGATTTTTAACGTAAGTCCGATTTTTAATGTATTCATCATGTGTTGTCTGTTTTTGTAGCTCATAACTTTTTGAAAAAATTTCAGTTTGATTTGATAACTGGTTTCCAATAAGAAAAATCACTTGAACAACTGAGTTATAATAAATAAATGCATCTAAAGGATTACATTAACTGGAACTATTACTGAAATCGAGTATATTTGGCGTAAACTCAGGCAAGGAACATCCCACTTGCCTGATGATCTGGTTAGCTGCATAGCAGCCTATTCTAGCGCACTCTGACAAGCCTTTATTACTACAAAAACCCGCTATAAACCCTCCCGTAAATGCGTCTCCGGCGCCAGTCGTGTCTCTGAACTCATGTTCAAGAATTTTCGGTACTTCAAACTTGAACGCACGTTCTCTAGAAACACAAGTCCCACTTTTTGGACCGTCTGTGATTACTATTATGTTTCCGTGCTCCTTTATTCTGCCTAGACCGTTTTTAGTCAAACGGCTTGTCAGATCTTCGATACTGTCCAACTTCATAACCTTTCTGATAGCCTCAAACTCCCTTTTGTTTCCAAAAACGATGTCAGAATGTTCGATGCAGTGTCTCACAGTGTCAGGCAGCAAATCACATATGTATTCCCCAGAAATATTGAATGCTACTATTAAGTTTTGCCTGTTGCAAAAATCCAGGATGTATCTTGCCGTTTCGGTTCGGTTTGTGAGAAAAAACCCTTCGATATAAACCAAATCGCAAGATTTCACTTTAGCGTGAAAGTTTTTGTTGGCGAGAAGGTCCTCCAAGGGAAGCTTTTCAGCTGCTCCTATATAAGCTACCAGAGATCTGCTCTGGCCTTTAATAAGTGCGATTGTCTTGCCTGTTCTCAAATTATTTTGTACAATATATCTGCAATGAAAAAAAAAAAATGAGCTGTTGAGAAATATTGAAAACTGTGTTTATTCCAGATCATGAAATTTTTCGTTTGTTTGAATGTGAATGATAATGTTTCTCATTGAATGTTATAAGTTTTAACTTTCATTGTCTGAAAAAGGTGTCAGCAGATTTGAAATCTATTAAAAAAAATTAAATATTGGAAATATACTTCTATGCTCTGTCCTTCTAGGACAGTGGCTCAACAGTTTGAACTTTTATCATTATACTTTATGATTTCAAATCTACTACACTAAATCAACATATAACGATATACATTTTCTAAAAAATTAATCTGTTGATAGTTTCAATAAGCGATGATTCACTCTCCATTCAATTATTTTAAGGTCCACATAGTTGATTGATAACTTATCTAGGTCCAAAGTGGTTCTATCTGATAATTCATCTAAATCTTATCTCCTGTTGATACAATTTTGGAGCCTAACAGGAATTTTTGAAGATTTTCTACTGAGAATATTATTAGTACATTATTAAAGTTAAAACAATATGCACTCAAACATTTGTTTTAAGATAAAATTATTATGGAATGTTTTCAAGTGAAAATGATTTGCACTACATATTTTGTAGACAGAAAGTAATATGGAAATATGCATATACTGATCGATTTTTGTTGCAAAAGTGAAGCTAGACAGGTTTTTTAAAGCATATAGAGGATATATTTCTTTTACTTGAACCAAGTGCTTGTGTGATTTTGAAAAGATTTCAATGCATTTTGCATAAAGTGTACCTTCTTTGGTAATATTCGTATTATCTCATCACTGGTGAATTAATTTTTTACCGTGTTTCAACTCCATCATCGTGCAACAGTTTTTTCAGAAGAACTGCTTCCTTGTCATTTCCTACTGACCCAAAAATTGTCGCTTCACACTGTTTCTTGGTCAGCCACTGCAATACTCTTAGAGAATTTTGGGCACATCCGCCAGCTGTGTTGTATTGGGTACTTCTAAAAGAAAAAACATTATTTTGGATTTTTTATTTCGAAAATAGAGAACACATTGCTTACAGTAAAGTTGAAACATAATCAGTTCGATTCATACTTAAATTCTACTTTTTCAAAAACGGTTTTATTTACAAGTAATGCAAGTTAATATTGAACCTATCTTCCATAGATGCTTGGAGAACTCCAGGCATATTTTGGAGAGACTGTCCGTTTCATTTACTACATTAGCAATTTAATTTTTGTCTGAGAGACAAGAGCGAAACTAATCTAGGGCTGATTTTCTTAAAAGCATAAAGGAATAATTTGTTCTGCAAAATTCTGTAATTAACATAGTCAAAAGCCTTTGAGAAATCATGGAGTATGGGCTCAAAAATGAACATTTGTAAGTCAAATTGGGAATTGTCAATATGTCTATTTGTAAAACTCATTTTACTTTTTTATCAGTTTTTGGTCAGAGAGAGAAATTGACGTAGGTTTGAAGGTTCTTTCAACTCCTATCAATATTTCATCTAATGATTATTTTTAAGGCCAACTATAAATGGAGTATCAGAGTTGAAATGCATAATATATTTAATAAAATATTTTTCATTTCCATACATGTATGAAAACCAACAAGTCTCCCAGTAGAAAAAATGTTTCCTTGAATGCTGGTTACAATTTTCGTGGCCACTTCAACCTCATCTTTAATAGGCTCTACGAAACTTTCTAATAATATCCAGCTCCTCCTCCTTAAAAGTCCAAATAAACAGTTTTTTACTAATATTCAGTTCGGCAGCTGATTTTGTATTCTTATCTTTTTGTATTCGAATTCATAATAATTATCATGCTCCTACTTCCATTTCTTGCCTATTATTATTATTATGCATTGTATGTTGAATTTTTAATTTCTAATTTTAAATTCACATCTGATTCCAAAATAAGAACTTTAAATGTGACGTTACTATCTTGTAAACAGGGTCAATTGACAATAATAATTATTATTTTAATTATTAGTCAATATTATAATACATATACTATGCACACTAAAACAAAAAAATGGAAATGTCAGATGAACTAAGTAGGTTAAAAGTATTTATATAGCTTATAAAGCAAAAAACAAAATGTTTCCTGTGACATTCAAATAGTTCGGCAAGTTAAAACACACTTCCATGAATGAAATGAGTTCTTGATCAGAAGAGCTCCAAAACTGATTCTAATTCAAAAAAGTGGCACAATCTGTGATGTATTTTGCCAACTAATTGGTACTATTTCAGTAGATTCGATAAGGTTCTATTTTTAGTTGGACACATGAATGCCAAAGTGAATAGCTAAATTATGTTTGTTAATGTAGATACAACAGGCATCCGCCAGTAAGTAGAAACAGACTAATGAAAAAATGGACAGTACTGCAGGCAATGGTACACAATGGTATATTTTCGATTTAGAATTGAACTCAATATTTCTTTAGATAAAAGTTTTGGCAGATTTTTTCAAGAACTGTTCAACTTGTGTTTTTTGTTCAAGTATGTTCAGACACTAATCAATCTAGTTATTTTATAAAAGAGCTGCTGATGTTAATGTTCCAGATCCTGTTCAGGATTTTTCATATTTATTAACCTAACTTTTTTACTTGTTTCATAACTTTCCATTCATATTTCACTTAAAATTCAAAATCTGAATTGTATCATATTCTTTACCCTGATATATCTCTGTTGAGATTTTCCATTTCATTTTCGGAGATTTCTTTCTGACCGTCCTCTTCTAAGTTATATTTTTCGAACAGAATTCCGTTTTCGATAAATATCGTCGTATCCAACAACGGATTTCCGAACGCAACGATTTTCATCTCGATTCTCGTTCTCGAACCTCTGAAACTGGGGTTCCCAGAGAAACCGATTCACGCATAAAAGTCACAAGTTGTGTCACTTTTTACTTTGTCTTTGTGAAATTGTGGTAGGAGGTTTTGAAGAAATTTTCGCAAGTAATCAGGTAAATTCGCGATTTATTCTCGTCTGTGATTGAATGTTCATCTGGTTATCTTTTATCTAGTATTTTGATTCGAATCTGTTTTCGAATGCTTGCCGATTAATCGGAAAATCGTTGAATAATTAATATAGTGACTATGATACCGCCTTCCGCGAGTTTAGGAATGGCTACGCGAACAACTATTCGTTTTCTTAACGTTTATCACGGAACGAACAAAGTTATAAACATTGAAAGTAAAGCTCGGTTTGATTATTTCGACAGCATAACGTGAGCTTGTAACGTCATCACCGATGCTCTTTTATTTTCTATAAAAGCTCAAGCGCGTGCATACTATTTTATGAACCCATTTGTCTTTCTTCGACAAAAATCAGCCAAAAGGGTAAGGGAGCTGGGCTCCAACCTGAATGAACTGAAGACAGGTCAGGTTACTATTTTATTGTGACTTTTCAATTGGGAATGCATAATGCTATCGTTTTTTATACCTATTCGTTGCTAATTGATAATTGTAACTTGCTACTTGCTAAAACAACCTTCAAGGAAAAAAGCAACCTAATTGCTTTCTTCCTTGAAGGACAAAACTTTTGAAACAATCTAATATATTATGTTGATCAAAATATGTTCCCCCATAAAATTAACATCAAATAAACGAAATGGCCTCAAGGTAGCCTTTATTTATATATTTTTGCTGGTAAAGATTAAAAGTCTGCTAACTGTGAATGTAGAATGTAATTATCCATTTTAGTAAAACGCTTTGTGGGCTTGTTCATTCCTATAAAGATTTGAAAAACTAGGTCATACTTTCGATTTTTATAATCGTTGTTCTTACACTGTACCAACATTTGGACTGAACTCCATCGATATTTATACAGTACAAAAATTATCTATTAGTTTCTTATTAATTAGGTGAATGTTCTTATCAAATGCGGGGTCATCGATTATATTCAGTATCATGCCGTTGACCACATTTATGAAGTAGTTTTCTGGGAATTTATGGGAAAATATTACTCACAATCAATATATTTTACTGACAAGATTCGTATTGAATTTTCAAATAAACTCCAGTGTTTCAGTTGAAAATTCGTTGTCTCAAAACTTGCCAAAAAAATAATTTGATGATCCACACATTATTATATGATTTTTTATATTTGATACTGTTAAAGAATATACTTCGATGATGTATATTGAAGACATCCGTTTCTTCTACTGTTTCTAATTCTTCCTCACTATATGTGACTCAGAACCTTAATTATTCATTTTCAATTCAATTTCATCCAATTATTTTAATATGTATATTATATTTCCAATCGTGTTTCTTTTCTATTTAAAATCTCGTACAATACAAACACTGTTGCCAAACACCAGAACAGCAACATTCTGTTGACACGCGTTTCACCAATCAAGTTGCCGTCTTCAGGAAATGAAATAGACCAATTCCTGACTCTGAAACTGGTAAAATTCTCATTTTTCTCAAAAAATATTTATTTATTCGTCAATTTCACTTTTGTCCCCTTCAAAGTAACCCCCCTCAGATATAATACAGCGTCTTTTTCAATCCTCGAAGCAGTTCTGATATGTACTTTTTGGTATGTCCTTGCGATTCAATTTTCACCTCCTCAATAGTGGCAAAACGCCGTCCTTTCATAGGTCTCTTCAATCTTGGAAACAGGAAAACGTCGCAGGGGACCAAATCTGGTGAATACGGTGGCTGAGGCATGATTGCTGTGTTGTTTTTGGATAAAAAATTACGAACAAACAATGACGAGTGAGCAGGTGCATTATCGTGATGCAAAAGTCATGAATTGTCTTTTTACAATACCGGACGTTTTTGTCGTATTTTTTCTCGCAAGCGGAGAATAACTTCAAGATAATACTCTTTATTAACCGTATGACCATGGTCCAAAAAGGTTTTGCAATATCACTTGTCTTTATTTGTTGGTGTGTTTTTTAAGAGTTTGTATTGGTAATGTATATTCTTTTTTACAGACATTCAATCTCTCGGGCACCAACCGTGTTATAATTTTAAGTATTTTTATAATTGAAATAATTTTTGTCTCCTCTCAAGCTGGATCATTACAATATTTTATCTTATCTTTTGAAAAGCGAACCTTTTTTGATAACCCACCGACTCATTTATAAAAAAACACTCAATAGATCCAACAAATCAAATCAATACCTTTTTAGAAAAATGGCTCTTGGTTACAAGGAATCCACTGCAAAGTTCCAAAGAATCCCTTCCGAACCGTGCCCTCTCCCCTCTCTTGGTTCCGATGAGGAATCTTTCGTCGTCCTTGGCCATTCGCTGAGCAGTCAGGAGATCCTTAATAGCGAAGAAATATTCACTCCTGTCGTGACGAACGTTATAGAGGAAAGTAAACGGCTCTTAAACAACGAACTCTCGGCCTTGGAACAGTTGAGTTTGGGAGCGGAAGGAAATGATTGTTCCGTGGACAGTATCGGGGGTTCCCAGAAAGGAAATAAAGGACGAGAGGCTTTGCAGACCTCACAGGCCAAGTCGTTGGAGAAATCTTCTTTGCCAGGATTGACTCTTGAGGAAGGAATATGCGTAAGTATTTTGACCGATTTGTTTCACTTTATGAAATAGTTCGAATTGAACAATTTAGTACGTGAAACTTTTGCTTTTGGAAAGGCGTGCTATACTGAAAAATGTTTATGTGTCTGTTGCATCTGAAAATGTTATTTGATAAAAAAGTTCATCTTATTGCTTTATATCACTAGCACTATGTCAGTAATGCTACTTTGTGGACTTTTTTGAGCATGTGATTTATATATTGAAGTGTCATACACAGTATGATATTGATGTGTACAGTGAAATTAACTAATGAAAATATATAAGTAGAATAACATGAAATAAGTAAATAAATGGATGCAAACATTTAAGCAAAAGGTCCACATCTCAAAATTCACATTGTTCACAATGTTCTTCTGTTTCTTTTCATTGCCATGAGAGGTCGCTTCTGACAAATAAATCATCGAGAATTTTTAATTTATGTAAAAGACACCTGATCTATTAGCAACTGCATTTTCCTTGCTGTTTCTTTGTGAAATGTTATTAAAAATATCCTGAACTATGTCGGTTTTTGAACTCATTTTCGAATGATATTCATCTGATGATACTGTTGAATCAGCGTTTTAATTACTAAACCAAAAAGACTACTACATACAGCAAAAAGCAGCATTGCTAGTGACTGACATGACATTCTTACAGTAAACTGCATTACCGACATTAAGAGATGTGCAATATTTAAGATGGGAGCTATTATTCTTCAATAATATTAACATTTAATCCCAACAACAAATGAAGATTAATCTTCCTCTTGAAGATGATCACTTGGTGATCGAAACACAGGTCGATGTGTTAAAATAACGGTTTAGTGTTGGAATAATCCTCCAGTATTGTTAAAATTAGTCTCAAGAGATGACAAATTGAAGTTGAATGTAAGTGGCCCATTGATGAAATGTTTTGACTGGCCTTGTAAATGTTAATCAAACAATACTTTGCCATGAAACTAATGTAAACTTCCAACTAAACACTCAAATATATAAATAAATAAAATATTATAAGTTATTACTTATTATTTTGGTTCTATTTTCAGGAGGAATCCCATAATGTAATAAGTTTGCCAACTATATCCACCGAGCTTTCACCCGATGAGGTGCAGTCGAGAATATCACAAATAATTGAGGAAAATATGCATTTGAAAGGTGAGGTTCTGATGTATTTCAGTGTTTCTATCTAGATATGAGTATTTACTGATTGTTTTACGAGAGAAGACGAAGGTCTCACAGTCATCACTATATACGAGAGAGAATATCTGGGAAAACCTAGATTTTTTCAATTTAGGAACCTGCAATATTCTGAGGAATGATTCAACTATTCTTCGCTGGAGGGATAAAAGAAACCCTAATGGCATTAGAGATGGTTACGAAAATCTACTGCTGATTGCTTGTATTTCATTTTTGAAACTTCAAATGACAAACAAAAGACTATGACTCTGTTTTGCTGTTGCTCGTAGTGTTTTACCTAGCGGACCATAAACTACTGCTAATGGAAATATGGGTTACACCTTATCATTGGGTTGAGTCATATCCCTCAAACCAGCTCTCAAACCATTGTCCTCGATAAAAAAAGATGGGATCTAATTGAATGTTGTGTTGGATTACCCCAAGGCTTTACACTTGAACCTTCATTTTTCATCAGTTTGTTGAGCAACATTGATCAAAATCAAATATGTACCATGCCTGTCAGAATAATAGATAGTATAATAACATAGTATAAGTCCCCTTTATATAAATCTTACTCAGGTCATTGATATGAATAAGAAAATGAACTGGGTCAAGTAGGGATCATTGGGGAACTCCCCAATTGATTTTCGAAAGATCAGAAGAACAATTCTTCGATTTGACGACCTGATATTGTTCTGAAAGGTAGCTTTTAAACCAATTGTGTGTCACTCCTCAGAATTCATCACAAAATAATTTTTTGGGCTCTGATTACCACAATTGAATTCTTTTGAGAAGTCGAGGAACTTCTCTGAAAGCTTTTCCATCACTTAGGCTAAAATAAAGTTAATTCAAAAAGTTAAAGACCCATTGCTTTTGATCAATGATGGTGAATAAAAATCATCATTATTATGTTTCAGATGTCCTTATTCAGAACAACATGAGCATGAAGTCACAAATCGATCGGATCGTAGCTTGGCAAGAAGACGTGCAGAAAGTTCACCAAGCACACAAAGAAAAGTTGATCGAAGCTAAGAAATGCATCGAAAAAGTAAGGTTGTTCATTTCTTTTTCGACAAATTTTGAATTAAAATTTGATTCCATCTAGTTGAAGGACGAATGCATCGTTCACTGTCTGGAACTATCCAACATGGAGGAAAAGATGGCCGAGCAGAAGAACCAGATATCCAAGCGTGACGGGGAGATAAACAGACTGCAATCCATTCTGCGTGACAGAGAACACCAGTGTTACGAAAATCTCGTGAGAACCACTGACAACAATTTGAAGGAGTTTGAAGTGGATGTTGCCAACAAGAAGATCAAGGAGTTGGAAATGGAACTGCAGCTTTCGATAGCAGAACGTGAGAATCTCTCTGCTGAAAATTTGAGGTTGAAACAGTTGGCAAAAGAAAACGAAAATGTCATCAAGGAACTTGAAAAAATTAAGGCGGTAAGTTGGCAACAATCAGTTTATACATTGTAAAAAGCAAGTAAGTACTTATTTATTGAAAACAAAGGGTCCTGTAACACATTGAATATCAGTGTTGAATACATTTAAATCAAATTATTTAAATATGTGATGGAGTTAGCTGATATTTGATGAAAATCCATAACTTGGTCAAGGAACACTCTATAGTGAGTATTTCACAGCTTTCAGAATTGCATACATTTGTTTCACTTTCTCAGGCATTTTCATACTGACAAAATTCTACTCAATTTGTGATTTATATGTTTCTATCCAGTTAATGACTAAAAATTTCAACTGAGTAAACCAATTGAAAATTTTTAAACATGTAGAAAACAATTTACAAACTCATTAAATGGACACGTTTTGAGTCTTATAATCCTTTACCTAGGCTCCCCAAGGCAGTCGATTGCAAAGCTAAGCTTCATCAACTGTTAAGTGAGATTTGTTTTCTGTTGTCCACTGCAGCTTTCACTGCAAGGCAACTAGATGTACTTGTGATCCAACTCCAGACAGCGCTGTTTCTACCTGCCAAGGTCTCATCAGCGGTGCTATCATGAAGCACTCATCTGTCCTTTGTAATGACCATCTTGGAGAGTCTTGTTTATCTTTAATATTCGAGAAAACTCCCAGCAACGTGGGTATTTGCAACTAATTGACAAATAAAATGAATTGCTATGGGTTTCTGAGCCATGCGTTTTATTAATAATTTATAAAAAAATTTTACCATGTTGTCAACTTTTATTCAATTTGTATTATCATGTCTAAAAAGTGTGTTTCTGAAGACTAACAAAAAATTATCGATATTGTTGTTTGATTTTTCAGAGCGAAGAAGCTATTGAAACGGTCCGGTGCATGGCGGAGGAAAAAGAGAATAAGTTCAAGGTTATTATAAATGAGTTGCAATCGAGGTTGCCACAGATCGAAGAAGTGGCCAACAGTCGTGCCCAGCTCGCCAATATCCAGGTAGCTCTGACTCAAGCGGAACAGAGTAGAGCGGCAGCTTACTGTCATATCGCCCAAATGAATAACCGCATGACTGAACAGGATGTGGAAATCACCAATTTAAAACAAAAGGTTTCTGAACTGAACCAGCGAAATATAGAATTGGAGTCTCAGGCCGCAAACAAAGATGAGATGTTTGCTTTACAAACCCAGGTTAGTATATCAAGAAAACTAGTTTACCATGAATGCCCTAGTATAGCATACTTTTTCGTTACTTGTACATTTCCATTCAGAATGGCAGAGTAGATGCCATTTTCTCTAATTAAATATGGCAACACCATGACGTCATTTATTGAAACATTGTAAAATAACTTGATGTTGTGAGAAACAAAACACAAAGTTTATAAGAAAAAATTCAAGAATTGAAATGCCACTTTTCACTTGATTTATGTCAAATATCTAAATAGGTGTAGGTATTTTTTTATATTTACCATTAAAGTATATTTCTTGTAGTACAAAATTAATCAAAGATACTATGTTATTCAATCGTCTGTGTCAGCTAAAATGTGAAAGTTTCGAAAATGTTCCATCTCATTGTGAGTTGATAAGAAATCGCACGTTAAAAGGCAGGACCTTGTTAATCTTTAGCTCGCACTATTTTACACTTGTTATTCGAAGGGGGGGGTAGCAGCTGGTTAACGGGAAAACCTAACCTGTTGAAATAGAAAAATCCAAAAGGCAGGGTTAGTTAATGTGTATTGAGAGGGTATTTTCGTTCTCGTGTGGGAAATTCTACCTATAAAATCTGCCTCATTTACTGAATCTAGATTGTTATGGAACCCGCTCATTGACTCCTTATACAGTAAACTGAGAAAATTGTCTTTGAGATTTTGCAACCTGCAAGCGGTTATTTTGGCTCACATCTATTTAAAAAAAAATCTGAAAAATAACTGAGTTTTTCAAATTTTATTTCCAGCTGGAAGTATTCAGAACCGATTTTGAAGCCGAAAAAAGCGCCAAGGAGGTTATTAAAGCCGAAAAAGAACGGCTGGTTGAAGATTTGCAGAATTTGCAGAGACGTAATCAGCAGTTACAGGAAGAAATCGAGATGATTCGTGATAACCGAGAATATGTGGTGTACCCCTCGAACTCGAGAGAACGTACTACACCGAACCCACCTTTGGCTCCTCAGGAACATGACGTAAGTATTACGAGTTATTGGTACATTTTTAATCTACAGTATAATTCAATCTCACTCAATGGAAATTTGACTATAATTCATTTCATTTCAGGTGGCCACTTTCTTGATATCATTCTTATTATTAAATTGGGTGTTCCAAGAAACATATCAAACGTCTGTTAGGTTTTTATGGTTTTTGAGTTATTGAAGAGCTAGGAATGGCTCCCATTTGATTCAGATAATGGGGAATGTTCCTCCTGACGAAAATCAAGTAGTTTTCATAAAAGGGCTCTAAAACAACGCATTTTAAACTTATCATTTCAACTTTTTTATTTAAAAAAATATTTAAATACTTAAAAAAATGGAATAAAATGATGCATTCAACATTTGAAGGGATTCGTTTCTATTCCACCATTTGGCAACATCGGTTACAGCTAATAAAGGACAATGAATCTGTTACCTGTATGAGACAAACAAAGATGACATATTTCAGACAGGCGTGCTGTTCTGTTTACTTATGTTCCGAGACATTCTGTGACATATGACATTTTGTGCACCTAACCTATCTTCCATTATATAAATAAATAACAAAACAACTGTTGTTTGTGTGGCTTATGGAGGTGGTATTGAACTATAATTCATAGTTTGCCTCAATTGTTGATTTATAAAAATAATTTCCCTTTTTTAAAGTAGAATATCTAGGTACCTATAAATTATTTCAACTTGATATAGGCGCCGTTGCCAGTATGTGAATTAGAAACAAATCCCTTTGAAAATTAAAATCCAACATTTGAAACATCAATTTGAATACTTTTCGAAGTGAATTTGAAAAACTCATGAATTAAACTCAACTTTATTTTGTTCAAACTTGCATTTGCTGAGGAACATTCCCCATTATAGATTAATTTCACTATCGTCAAGTACATTTTTTGAAAAGTACGAAAAATGTACTTTTCAAGTCAACATCATCATTGAAAAGTAGTATTGCTAGATATCTTGATTTTCATAGTTCCCTGTGGTTATATTGATTTTTGGAGTTGTTTTGATGTTGATGGTAAATTCTATTTTGCTTTTGTAAAATGACTCTGATTTTTATTATATAGTCTCCACCTCCCAGGAGATATGCATGCCCTATTTGCAGCTTACAATACCGATCTTTGAGGCTTTTGGAAGATCATGTTGATATGTGTGTTGGCCACAGAACCTGATTAACGGTATGACTAATTGATTTTTGCGAGTTTTTATTTAACATTTGGCTTGTTAGATGGAAGTGCAATGTCGATTAACATTGTGAAAGCTGGTTCATTTTAGTATCCTTAGCGTGTTGGTATGTATCATTTACTGGAGATATCTTCGTCAAAGTGTCTATTTATACTAAGTCGTTAAGAGCGTCTGTCTTGTTATGTCCTAGTGTTTGGAGCCTTACTTGGTATTCTATTTTTTATCAAAACTAATAACTTGATGGTACTTTATTATGCATGTTTGAGTTTCGAAGAATGTATCATTTCATTTATATTCATACTAACTGGCATTGTTTGAAAGTTCCCAACTTGAAAATTACTTGAAAAGCCTCCTGTGGAATCATACTGAAACGATATTTGTCGAGTTTTGTATTCCCAAAATCAATTAATCTTCTTAGAGAGTGCAAAATTTCACCTTTGTAAAAGCTATTTTCTAAGTTTGTTGACGGTAGTCTGCAGGTTTTTCATGCCTGACGATTTGTCTACAATGGCGGTAGACATCAATTAACCAATCAAGGTATACTTCATTCTTGAAAAAACAAAATCGCTATTGACAAAGCATAAAACATACATATATACATGAATTCACTTTGAATATACTACATACAGATATAAATACATACACGTATACACATACAGTGTGTACCCCCTTGTAACTTTTGAAAGAGACATGATATCAAAGTCGGGCAAAATGTTTGTATAAAGAAATCGTTTTTAGTACTTTTTTGATAAAAAACGGGTACGACAACATGTCAAAATCAAATTTTTGAGTAGATGGCAATGAGCAGAATTCTGAATTACATGGATCAAAATAATCTTTTTAGTAATAACCAATATGGCTTCAGGAAGAACAAATCAATTGAATCAGCTTCATACCATTTATTAAATTTCATTTATACACAGGTTGACTCGAATAAACTAGTTGTAACACTTTTTTTCGATTGTTTTATTTTGTTTTTTAATTATGACTTAGCACATGTACTCAATGTACCAAAGTGTCAAATAAATAAATATCTTGCCTGACGAAAAATTAATGAATGAAAGGATGTACTTCTTACTATATGGTTTTCAAAAAACGTACCTATTTCCAACAAAAAGTTTTCAGTGTGATGATCAAACTTTTCGTATCTCGAACATCAACTTTCTTTCAACACATTATCTCTTACTTTTGATCTTCCTCTTGAAGATGATCACTTGGTGATTGAAACACATGTCAACATGTTAAAAATAACGGTTTGGTGTTGGGATTAAACTCCAGTAATATACAATATACTATTGCCCAATGCCTTTGGCTAACAAATGTCGTCGAAAAATGTGTTTCAACTAACCCTCACACTGTTACAATTTTTCTATCGCTTTGAACATCAGGTTTTTTTCTTTTCAGCGTTATTTGAAATGTCCAAAATGTTTTTTCGGATTTAGCACGCAGCAAGCGCTAGAAAATCACGTTTACAGGTGCATAGAATTGGACGATCAGTTGCCGTAGTGGAACTATTAATTTTAGTGAAGATTATGTTTACTACTCCTTATAATTATGATATATAAAGAATATACATGTTTAAGTTTTATTTTTTGATCAATAAAGTAATGAGTTAATTTCATATTTGTTCCTTTTTCTATTTAGTTTTTATTGAATTCGGAAGAAGATATGTAATTTGAGGAGATTGTTCTTTTTAGCTTTTGTTTTAGTTTGAATTTTTTGCATGGAGAGTTTTGTCTAAATAAACTGTGATGTAAGTGTACCCAAACTAGTGTTTTATTACCCCTTTCTCTGTTTGAGGAAAGCATTAGTTTACTCAGCAGTATATTTTCCAAGAGTCTTGAAGGGTATTTTATAGTCTGGCACCATTTCAGAAAGTTTTACTGACCCCTATAATTATTTATTGAAGGAATAAGCATTTGTGTGGTTGGGGGGAGAGAATATGACACATTTATGCCACACCCTCATCAATTTCTTTTGAAAACGGGAGTTCTTGTACTTGATTATGATAAAATAAATGACATATGTAACATCTCTCTCTTTTACAAAGTAATAAAAAAAAAACAATTATTCTCTATACCTTAAAGGTTTATTTATGATTCTCCCAGATCGAGTAACCACTGTACCTTTAGTAGTTCCACTAGATTCATTAGAAACACTTCTGTTCAAAGATTGACTAGAACTGGGTAAACATAATTCATTTTTGTTCAAATAAGGATCAGGCCTAGAAACATGCAAGTCATAAGAAAGATTGTTCTCATTGTTTTCAGACACTGTGTTATCATTAGGGCTGGGTTCAATGGTACTGTCATATGTATTTTCCGATCTTATAGGCAAAGTAGGATTAGGGCATGTTCTGATAAAAGATGAATTTCTTCTCAAAATCCTACCAAATTCATCCCTCACAAGATACGACCTAGGAGCACTACATTTCCCTACTATCTCCCCTTGTTGCCAATTCCTACACTTTTCCTTTTTGAAAATTATACTCTCTCCCACCTGAAACCCATTTCTGAACTTGGCACTAGAATTGTACTTTTTGAAATTTTTTTCTCTATGAGTTACAATATTTTTCAAGTCAATCATAGGTTTTTCAGCTAATATATTTGACGTCACAGGCAAGGTTGTACGCAACAATCTGTTGTTCAATAACTCTGTTGGAGATAAATTTAGGCCAGTCAAAGGGGTTGTCCTGTAGTCTAAAAGTGCTAAATAAATATCAGTATCATTCTCAGAGCACTTCTTCAACATGCTTTTACATATCCCAACTGCACGTTCTGCTAGTCCATTAGATTTTGGATATCTTGGACTACTTGTTGTTAATGTGAAATCCCATTTTTTTGAGAATGTTTTGAATTCTATGCTGTTGTAGGGTACATTATCTGCAATAACTGTTTCAGGAATTCCAAAAGTAGAAAAAATTTGCTTAAAATGTTTAACAACTTCTTGCGCACTTTTATACTTCAGAGAACACATTTCTATCCAATTACTAAAGTAATCAACTACAATCAAATAATCGCACCCACCATATGTGAAAATATCAGAAGCAACTTTATTAAAAGGTAAGTTGGGTCTATTATGAGGCATTAACGGTTCTTTAACATTATTACGAGAATATTTCAAACATGCTGAGCATTTAGAAATAAATTTCTGTATATCTGTTGACATATTAGGCCAATAGAAAATTTTTCTGGCTCTACTTTTAGTTTTTTCAATACCTAAATGTGCAATATGTAGTTTCTCTAACATTGAATATCTCAAAGATATTGGTACCACAAGTTTATGATCTAAGAAAAGTAGATCATGTTTTGTGTGTAACGAATTTTGTATCTTGAAAAACCTTAATAATTCTGCATTATCAGGAAATTCTGATTTGAGTGGCCAACCCTCATTACAAAATGTTATTATCAAACTCAATGTAGGATCATTTCGTGTAGCATTCTTTAACTTTGTTAAAGTACTATTACTGATAGGAAGTTCTATTTCAACACTGTGAACAGTAAAATTAGTATTTGTTTGTTTAATTTTTTTAGAATTTTCTTTTAAGAAACTTATGGATAACAAATCCGCTATGTACATGTATTTTCCTGGTAAATATTCAACATCAAAATTATATTTTAATAGTCTTAGTTTGAGTCTTTGAAGACGACCAGATACTTTATAAAAATCTTTTTTACAGATCGACACTAACGGCCGATGATCAGTGTTGATTAATATTTTTCTTCCATATATAAAATTATGGAATTTTTCAACAGAAAAACAAATAGCCAGTAACTCTTTATCAATTTGAGGATATCGAGTTTCTGTTTCTGTCATTGCTCGTGAACAAAAAGCCACGGGTTTTCCTCTTTGTAGTAGACACCCACCGAGTCCATTTTTACTTGCATCAGTCTGTATAACTATTGGATGTGCTGAATCAAATATCTGTAACTGTGGAATTTCTGTAATAAATTTTTTAATATCATTCAATATTCGTGTATGATTATCAGTCCAAGTAAAAGTCATATTTTTCTTAATAAGCTCTCTAAGTGGGTATATTAAATTAGACAAATTAGGGATGTATTTTGTTAAATAATTAAGCATGCCTAGTATGCGAAGCAGTTCTTTTTTATCATTAGGTGTTTGTATATTCAACACAGCTTGAATGTAATCATTGTCAGGAGAGACACCTGTAGAAGAGAATATTTGTCCTAGATATTTTACTTCCTGTACTTTATACTGAACTTTATCTTTATTAAATTTGATGCCAAACTTTTTCGCACGTTTTACTACTTCACTCAATACAGCGTCGTGTTCTTCAACAGAAGCACCACCTATTACTAGATCATCAAAATAAATGCCTATATTGAGATCCCCAAATATTTTTTCTATTGTCCTTTAAAACACTTCTGGACTGATTTTGAGACCAAAAGGGAGTCTTCGAAAACAAAATTTACCAAAAGGTGTTAAAAAACATGTATATTTCATGCTTTCTCTCTCCAACGGTATTTGATAAAATCCCTCTTTTAAATCAAAGACTGTGTATATTGTTTTTCCTTTCAATTTTGATGCTAAATCTTCTAATGTTGGAATTGGAAATTGATCAGGAATAATATTTTTATTCAAGTGTAATGGATCTAGACAAATTCTTAAAGCACCACTTGGTTTCTCTATGATTACAATATTATTTACCCACTCTGTTGGCTCTTCAATTTTCTCAATTATCCCTCGTTTCACTAAATCTTCTAAAGTACCTTTTAATTTATTTTTAACAGTCTCAGGTATTCTTCTGCAACCACTAACATGAGGTTCAGCATTTTCTTTTAATATGATTTTATACTGAAAAGGTATCTTGCCTGTGCCTTCAAATAATTCTAAATTTTTATTAATAAAAGTATTTTTATCATCTACACTTCCTAATTCATCAATTCTTTGTATTAAATTCATTTTGATACATGCTTTCAATCCTAAAATAGGTACACTCATTGTTTCTACAAGATATACTTTGACATTGTACCGAGCCCCTTTTACAATGCACTGTACAATAGCATATCCTAAACATTTTACTTCTACTTTACCATATGTAATTATTGAAACACCTCTATCAATTATTTCATCCCTATCCAATCCCAGTTTTTCATAAGTGCAAATTGACATGCAATTACAATCAGCACCAGTATCTAACTTGAAATTTACAGTTTGTTTATTAATTATCACAGGGATACTCCAAACAGTTTTACTTCCATCTTTCACTTCCTGTACATTATCAACAAATATTTCAATACTGTCAATAAAAGTTAAATCTTCATCACTACTTTCCTTTTTATTTAATGAACCTTCTCTCGCTTCATGTACATTTCTGTTATTGTATGGATTACGAGTTGAGATGGAAGGCTGTTTGAACTTTCCCTTGTTTGATTGTCCTAACTTATTTTGACAACCTATGGCAAAGTGATTAGGTTTTGAACATAAATTACAAATTTTCCCAAAAGCTGGACAGTTTTTTGGTCCATGTGTACGACCACATTTCAAACACTCATAATGATTTTTATTATTATTATTAAACTTAGTACTAACCTGTGCACTTTTTGACCTACCACTTTTATTGTTCATTCTACTTTTATTTTGTATAAAGTCTACTTCTTTATCATTTTTCAGCTCCTTCACTTGTCTTTTACTAATTTCCGCACCTCTGCAAATCTCCTCAGCTTTTTCAAGTGTTAAATGTGAATGTTGCAGTAACCTTTCTTGTACAGACAGCTCCTGTATTCCACTCACTATCTTATCTCTAATTAACGATTTCTCCAAGTCACCAAAATTACATGAAGAAGCTAGTACTTTTATATCAGTAATGTAACTGTCAAAATTTTCCCCTTCGTCTTGCACACGGGTGAAAAACTTATATCGTTCAAACGTTTCATTTTTAAGTGGCTTACAGTAATCTTTGAAAGCTTTTATTACATCTTCATAATTCTGCCTGCTTTCTTCTGTCATTTCAAAAGTTTGAAATTTGATTTGAGCCTCTTCGCCTGCTAGGTTTAGAAAAATTGCTATCTTAGTTTTCTCATCTTTATCAATCAGACCTGTTGCCCTCAGATATATATCCAGACTTCTTAAGAAGACATCAAAGTTTTTGTGCATATTCTTGTCGAATACCAAACTTTTTGGAGGTTTGAAACTTCCACTGTAATTATCCATTTTACAGCAGTACTCACGCTTTGGTCAAGATATTATATTAATTTGATCCAAAGTCCCATTAACCTGACACCATGTTATCGAGATATTGAGAAAAAACTAAAGCCCCATTTTTTTTCCACTTAATTGTTTATAACTTTTGTAATTTTTATCGGCGCGTTTTCGGACCGTTCCTCAAACTTTCTAGGCAAAAATACGAATCGAATGACTATACCGTATTGTATATAAGTTTAGTGAACAGTTCCAGAAGGGATTTCAGATCAGGGATAATATCCCAAAAACACAAATAACAAGTTGAACTTATCTTTAAAAAGCTTAGAAAAAAAAAATATTAATAGTTTCGTCATGGAGGTGAAAAATAACCTGGAGTCTGGGCGTAATAGAGTCAGGAGTCAATAGATTGGAAATCCAAAGGAACTATAATTATTCTGTTATTCACGGCTTTTC